AATGTATTACTTGTATAAATACGTTTTAACTAAGATAGACGCTTCACTTTATTCACTGCTATAACATTTCTTTGTTCACCCACCTAGACAGCCTGATTCTATCAAAAGAGCATCTTAGATTCTACATTACAAAATTCTGATTTTGTTTCAAAGATACGATATTTTGTGAAAGTGATGAGGATATATAACTGACTTGTGGTCTTGGAATGGCCTAAAGAACGATTGCTTAAAGAACCATGGAGTAATTGTAGCTGCTCCAATTTGTTTCCAGATGTGGAATTGTAATATTGTTTACAATAAATATATTGTAAGAGAAATGAGTGCAGGATTATAATTCTTCAAGTTTCATCGCTTTTCTCAAAACTAATAAACTTTTAACATTCCGTAAGCACAAAATAAAATAGCTTATTAAACTTCATTAGTACGAGTTAGATAGAAACCGGAGGAAGCCAGTGAGGAGGGTAGTAAACCTCAAACTCTTCATCTGGATTGAGTGGACCTTCAACTGGAGCTTCAAAATGACGGATATTTCTGGTGGCGAGATCGTAAACACCAAAGACCGGTTCTATTAGGTAGATGGAGTTAGGCTTGAGGCCAGGGCACGAGCTAGCCTCAATGCAGAAAGGGTCAACCTCTGAAAGGAAGATGCACAAATCTCCAATGTCCTCTGTGTAACACATGTATCTTCCTTGCGTCGTCTCTTCCTCTCTATACACCATCAATACCGGCTCTTTCTCCAACGAGAGAGAGACAAATGAGTAGCATTTGACTAGGAAACGTTCCCCTGAAGGTGACTCCATCCAGTGTTCTGCCTTGGAACACGAATCCAGCAGCTCGTACTCGGACTGTGACAACTTGGGTTGGTTGCCATACAGATACTCATGGAACTTGGGATTACTGTCGTTGTCGTCTGCGTCTTGCTTGCAGTAGGGATCCCATGAGCACAAGTAGTTGCTTCCAGGAGCAGGCAAGTAGAACTTTTTATCCCTCTTTGAATACATAACTTTAGAGTTTTGGAAGCTATGGTTTTTTTTTTTATCAAATGCAATTGAAAAACATAGGTTACTGTGGAGCTATGTTTTAATTACAATCTTCTAGTCGTTTGGGTCTTCAATTTTCCAAGGGTTTAACTATATAAGCAACCCGTTACATTTAACGTGATAGACAATATTTGTTCTCTAGTCGTTTCAAGATGTTGGTAATGGTATAGACAGAAAGTTAATAAACCTTTCATTACTAAACAAATCACACATCTCAAAGGAGTACAAATACTTAACTAAACTTCATTACCATATTTGATACAATCTAAACTTAAGGTCTCTCTCTCCACCTAAAAACTTCGATAACAACTTCTCGCACGTGCGACCCGGATCCGAAATGGGTCATGGAGCATTCCGCTTTCTCTCCGACTAGAGAGTCTTAGTCGGAGGAAGCAATCCTCACCGGAATTACAATTTCACGGCGAGTCCGTAATTACCCGATGGAGACTGAGCTCACCGTGGGGCTTTATGGCTTTACAAAACTACGCGCGAGTGAGACCGTCGATTCTCACGGTGGAGTTCGCCGGAAACATGCTCCGTTACGTTCGTGAACCAGAGGTTAGCGCGTGAGGCGGGTGGTTGGACCACCCACTAAAATCTCTCGCTCTCTCCTTGGTTTCTCCCTCTCTCCAAAAACAAAAATTGCAGAGTGAAAAAGCTCCGCCGCCTATTCCTACTACGAAGAAAATTCGCAGAAGAATGTGAGTACGATACGAAGAAGAAAAAAAGGAGCTTCCGATTTTTGATTTTTGGTGGTTGATTGAAATTGAAGACGAAAGAGTTTTTAAAAATATTAATAGTTACTTTTGTCGTTTTGGTCTTTTCTCATCTCCCTCTCCTCTCTCCTGTCTCTGACACACACTTGTTCTTCTTTTTTCTGCTTGCGCACCAAGGTGCATTTTCTTATAAATCATCCGTTGTTTCTCTTCTCTCATTTTTTCCTTGCCGGAGCCACCGCTCTCACTGTCGCTGTCTTCACCGCTACCACCGCTCTCACTGTCACTGCATGGTTCAGGCCTTGGAAATGTCATCATCTTGACCTCCGGACCATATTGCATGTTATCCTCCCCAATTGATGCGTACCAAATTTTGACGAATGCATTTTTTTATAACTTTGAAGACGGTTTTAACTTCCATCGGGAGGTCTTTTGGTTGGCCTCTCACCGGAGGATTCGGACACGGAGAGGTGAAGGAGTGGCGGAACTCCGCCGACCTCCACTGGTTGTGCAAGTCGACCATCTTGACCTAGCCCATCACCACCCGATGCTCTGTCTTCTTGGTCTTCATCTTCTCCATCGCAAGGTTGGCCATTTCATAAACGATACACAAGAAGTTTCTAATGAAAGTTCAACAATAGTAATTTACGTTTTTATTCCTCTATATTTTGAAATATCTATATATTTGATTTAGTTTTCAATAACTTAGATTGGTCAATATAAATTTTTTATATTTAATCTTTCATGTTTTCAAGTATTTTTTCATTACAACATTTTGCACAAAAATTGAGCAACAATGAGCAAAAATATTAGTACTCTAGCACTATAATAAATGTACATTTGATCGTAGTAGTAAAAGACTGATCAAACAACGTCGGTATACCGAGCATCTTCTTAAGCTCCATGAAACAACTCATCATATACGATCCTGAATATAACTTTGATGATTCACAACATAAAATTTGATCATCTTATCATCGATGTTCAGATTCATGTGGATGGTGATCGTATAACACATGTTTTTTGTGGACTTGACTTTCTGAACTTTTAATTTACTTAGTCACTCGTATGGAGAATC